ACATCGTGCGGCAACACTCTCTTAGGCTCTCTGGTTTTTCGAAAATTTCTTGCTTTTAAATTATAGTTTTTGGACAAACTACATATCAAATTGTTTCTAACCATTTGGTGATTTCACTTGTTTAATTTTGGAGTTGTTTTGCAACGTATTTTTCGAGATATTCTGCGCGAAAGTTTGTGCGTTGTAGTAATGTCTCGCCGCACAAAGAACAGTATGTCTTGTTGAAAATCTTGTGGCGGAATTGCCCAGCACAGATGAAGATAAAGAACAAGTTTGCCCAACAGAGATGTCTGACCATAAAAACGAGGACGAAAACCACAGAAGCGAGACTTGTGGCGAAATAATCGAGCGAAAATTAAGCGAGCACGTGGTTGATGTTGTTGGTAAAGACGAAGCCGAAGTCAACAGGAAACAGCCAACTTGCGAGGAATGTCAGAACCGCAAAGACGAAATTACAGAAATAAAAGCAAATATCAATGAAATTAAAACTAACCAAAACGAAGATCGAGAAAAATCAATTATAAAAGCGATAGAATCGGACGAAAGGATAAAATCCTTGCACGAGGAAAACTCCAAAATGACGGAAGAGATCAAATGTCTTAAAGCTACAATATCCGAACTTGTCACTGACAATGAGAACATAAAAAATATTCTCGACGTCAAGCAGAATGAATGGCTGAAAATAGCGGAAAACCCGAATCCATCAAAATGTAGTAAAACTGCAAAAACGCCGCCTACAACCTCAGTACAAAACCAGTTTGAACTGCTCAATGATGAAAATTGTGAGATCGGAATATCATCGCCTGAATTAGACTCAAACGAGCAAACGAACGCTTACGTAAATAGCCAGATTCATGAATATAGATCAAAGGCACAATCGAAGTTTGAAAACCGAAAGAACCAAACTCATGCGCGGCGGAAGGAAAAGAAGAACCATGTCCATGCAAAGAGGACCGGATCCGAAAAAGGAAAAGAAATTAAAAAAGTCCTGGTAATCGGCGACTCGATGGTGAAACACATCGATCGGGTGAAAATTGGGCGAGCTGCAGGTTGCCAATCAGTCGTCCACTCTTACAGCGGCGCAAGAGTGGAACAAATCAGTTCTAAAATTGAAGAATATTGGTCAGAAGGGGAGCAGTATGACACAGTTCTCCTTCACGTGGGCACCAATAACCTCAATAATGGTTAATGGATAGGTCAAATGCATCTGATTGGTAGCGATAGCGGTATAGTCGAAGTCAAATCTGGACCTCCATGCATAATATATATGCGAAAAGCCGCAACGAATCTGGCTTAAAAATAAAAACCTTTTGGAAGGGAATTTTTCCACAATATTCTTAATATACAAGAGTTGCCAAGGTTTATCTTATACACTCATGTAATGCCAAATACAAAAGGATAAAAATGACAAACGTCACCAATTGGAGGAATTGGCGTAGTGGGCGTACTTTTTGAGAATAAATGAAGTCAACGTCCAGCGGACAAACGAGGATGAGAGTGCCAAGTCACGAATTGTTACAGGGGACATTTCAGGCTCTAGCTGAACAAAGTAAAGGTTTGATGGTTGTCCCAACTAGTTTTTAACTCAGTTAAATAGAATACATGATAATGTTGGGAAAGCATTAAATAGGAACAAGTAACAGCTAACCAAAGTTCTCGTGACTGCCAAATCTCCGGCACTCTCATCCTCCTTTGATCCGGGCATCACTTCTCGTATAATTTTGGCCAAAACTGTTAATGCATGAAAATTAATGGGGCATATTAATTTGAGCAATAATAAACATGCGCAGAACTGATAATATTATAAAGAACAATTTTAGTTTTTTTACATCGGATTGATGCATCCATAGCCTAACACATTCTTTTACCTCTATATTTTAAATTCCCACCGGGCACTGATGGACACCATGGGTAACTTACGAGTATTTGGATCAGTAAATCACTCACTATTAATTAAGATTAAAAAATTCATTAATAATTCACGAGGAAAATACAAAAGAAACGAATGTTTAATCAATGTTTGTAAATCGGATAAAGATTTGTCCTGATTTACATAAACTTCAGCTTTAATTTTCTCGGCTTAGACAATCTTTATTTTTAAAATTAATGAACTCCAATGAACTCATAAGATGGGTCGTTTTTTAAGTACGATAAAACATTCGCATCCGATCTGTATCTGATATACAAACTCTCGCCTTCGGCACGAGTTTGTATATCAGATACAGATCGGCTGCACATGTTTTATCTAGTACATAAGGTATGCATGTAATGATTAATCAAAGATGGGTGCATGGTTATAGTGCATGTATATGGTTAAAAACACAAAGACTGTGTACAGTTATCTTGATCACAATTAAGACATGAACTAGATTATATATGTATACGTGTATCATGATATAGCCTAGTGCAGACTTTCCTTTTTTCATAGCATTACCTGACAATGTTTGGTGCCACAATATCCGTTCCCATCATCATAGCTCCTGCATTGTGTATCACTGATGACGTAGTCGTTGGAAAACTTATATCTACAATATTCTTCATGAGTGGAATAGCGACTCTCTTACAAACAACTTTTGGTAACAGGTAACTTTAAGTTCAACTCACTATTACTTTATTTAACAAATGAAGGGAACTGGTGAGTGGTTGTGAATTACGAACCATGAGAGCTCTTCTTTGCATGGACACTTGCTCGTTTATACACGTGTCGACATTTC